ATCAAATTAGTGGGCTAAAATGAGCTGGGGTGGGCCAGCTCTATGGGTTAGAAAAAATAATTTTAATTAATTTAATAATTTTATATATTTAATTATGTAAAATTAATAATTTAGTTACTAATGATATTACTTATTTTATATATTTCAATGTTTTTAATCTTTACCTATCAAATTAAAAATTTTAATTTAGATTAAAATTTATTATCTTTTTTTCTGTAATGAATATTAGATGATAAATTAATAATGATTCAGACCTTGATACATCATTGCTGTCATTTAAATGTTTTACTTAAGGATGAGGATTGAAGATGATATAAATGAGTCTTGAAATTTTTATTATTTGGTTATATACTTATATTTATGAGATAGTAGTTTATGTTAAAGATTTAAACTTTATTTATGTAATTTATTTATTTTTTTATTTGATGTAATTTGTTTGTTTGTAATATGTTTTTATTATTCAATTTATAAATTAAATTATAAAATAATTGTATTATTAGAAAATTTGTTAGGTAGAATTATAAAAATGAGTTTTTTTAAAAAATTAAAAATAGACTAGTCTAATCTATCCCATAAACTAACAAGAGGTGAGCTGAATTAAAGTTTTGATGACCCATATAAAAAATGAACTGACCCGACCCAATTTATATTTTTTCAACTCACAAGGACTTAGGCTGGATTGAGCCGGACCAGTCCGACAACTCTAGTTAAAAATGGTCTTTGGTTCCATGATCACTTTGATAAGAAAATACATGGTACTGTTGCTAAAAGAAATTGGAGATAATGATACCAAGTCTCACTGATTCCCCCTTTTAAATTTCTTTCAAATCTTTGCTTCTCGATTTTAAAAAAGTGATTTCGCGAATCTCATCCTGTTTTGAGACGAATAGTGGACAAAAATCTTCTACTTTTATTTCATGTCTCTATTGGTGTCCTTTTCATATTATTATGTCACGAGTTTGCCATCCTCTATTTATTACTTCTTGATAGGAAAATAATAATGGAATGCAAGTTCTTTTGGTATATAACTTTTTGATGATGGATTGAGGTGATATGAGACGTGTATGACTTTAGTATTTTAATTATGTTATTGTTTACTCAATTATTCATAATTAATTTGTTAGCCAATCATATCCTTTATGTTTTTTTATGTCAAGGTTTTGATCCAGAGTCCTATTTCTGGCCGTACTTGCAACATGTTATATAAACCGCAAATTGCAAATTTAGATTTGCATGTCTACATTCTTCAAAAATAAAATTCAAATCGTTATAATGTTTAAATAAACTTTTAAATTTTAAAAAAATTAAATAAATTTTTATTTTTTATTGTGTTTAATTAAGTTTTTATATTTTTATTTTGAATCAAATAAATTTTTATGATAAATGATTAACTAATTGTCATTAATTAAAATATCACTTATAATTTTAAATCAACATAACACTAACATAACATTAATGTGAAATGTAAAAAATTTCATATTTTCATCAATTATGATATATTAACATATCATATTATCATCAATTATAATATGTCAGTATGTCACGTTAACGTCACGTAGCATAGAATGACAAATGATATTTTAATTAAATTCATAATTAACGATAAAAATTTATTTAATTTAAAATAAAAATACAAATATTTATTTAATTTAAAATAAAAATATAAAATTTAATTAAACATAATAAAAATATAAAAATTTATTTAAAATTTTTTAATTATTTAAAAAAAATTAGATATCATGTCATGCAATGTTTGATAACAGCTCTCTTCTTGTCATATCATCTTTACGTCAGTAACATCCTCTGCAACAACTGCATTTTGTTGTTGGATAACAAGTGTAGATGGCAACATTCCCCTGTCTGATGCCAAAACATCTCCTACATGTCCCAATTCTGCCAGTTCTATGTGATTGTCTGCTAATTCCGTAGATGATGGGAGCTGCCCCTTTCCAACTACAAGGAGCTCATACTCCCTGCTCTGT